ATTTACATATAACTTTTATACTAAGATTATGTCGATAAAAACATGATTTAATAATTTATTATACGATAGTAATAATGCATTGGAGAATCCAATTTGATTTTGTGGACTAAATTTTATATATATATATATATATATATATATATATATATATATATAGGCCATAGGATACGGTTAATGTGAGACCAACTTTAAAGACAACATTTTTACATTTGAAACTTTACAGCAAAAAATTGTGATGATAAAGAAATTCTGAACCTTCACAAAAAAACACTGTGAATGTTGCTTTTACAATATTTTACTGTGAAGTTTCAGATTTTATGGGTCTCACAAAAACAAGTTGGTTTCACATGATTCCAAATATATATATGTGTGTGTGTAGCGGTTCAAACGAGAACACCCTTATCACGTGTGATAATACGAGTGAGGGAACTCTGTGATGTGCAGACGACGTGTTGTACGACTTAGGTCATGCCAAAGATTGTCTGCGTCTATGATTTAGCATCACATGTGATGATCTTGATGGATTATAGTATCATATCAACAACACCCTTATCACATGTGATAATACTTATGAGGGGGGTTTAGTGGTGTAAGGGCAACTTGACCCGCAACCAAGATCGCATCGAAAATCATTCGCGTCTCTAATTTAGTATCACATGTGTATCATACGTGTTGAAATAATATTATCACATGTGATTATCTATAGTAAAAAAGATATTCTTACGTTCTCGTAAAATGAAACTGTTTTCATTTAAACCTTTCCATATATAAATATATAATTATAGTTTTAGGTTGTAGTGATGTGGTTTGGATTTTGAGTAATAAATTAAAAAGTAGGAGCATTTTAATGATTGTTAATTAATAAATAAGTTTAATATTAAATGAGTGTGGTGGTTGGTGGCTATTTTCTAAGCCTACACCTACCCTCACATTGACCATTTTCTATACATCCACCTACCACCCTCTTTTATTCGAATCTAAAAAACCATATTAACCATCAAAATATTATTTATTATATGATTTATTTGAATCACGTGTCCTTAAGCTATTCTCTAGGAATCGCAACTACCGTTTATCACTGTATATCATTTGTTGTTAATGCTACACTTTTTGGACTTTTGGTCATTGAAAAAATCATTGTTCGTTTAGAGTTTAATGTAGTTGATGATATAAGGAGCTTATTTGTTAAGCCACGTCGTTTGTTACAGCTTAACTAGTTTTTGGCACCACACGTTGTGAGTGACAAAATTTATGTCAAAAATGTGAAATATGCTTTCGTTTATTATTTTCACATATTCAATATTCAATGATGAAGTTAGGTGTATGCAAGAAAATTGTTTACTTGCCAACTATATAACATTCTATTTGTTCGGTTGGTTTTTTTTTTTCATTAAAGGGCTGTTTACTTGCAGTTTAATTAGGTTTATTGATCTATCTGGCTTACAGCTCATTTGGGTTGTTTACTTACGGTTTATTCGCACAAAACATGGTTTAATCGCACATATAGAAATGGTGTGTTGTCCTCATTCAGCCACAAGAATGACACCCCTACCCCTTATTTAAAGCATCGTCTCCTTCCCAAATGAGACACCCCATCGTCAACCTCTTTATGATTTTTTTTTTCTTTTGATGTTCAAATAATTAATATTGTGGGGTAAATTGGTCATTTATGTATTCAAGTTGTTGGTTCAGATAAAAAAAAGTAAACAACCACACTCATTTATCCAGACAGACAAATTTATCCATACAGGACTTAATAAAAAATTTGGTATACAACCCTTCATATATAGATTAAGCTGCTGGGTTGAGAGGGTTTTTCTTGTGGAGACATGTTTAATGTGACAAGGGTACCTATAGATGATCATGGTTGAATGCATACGACACATCTATCTTGGCCAATCGAATAAGCAGTAGGCTGAATCATCAACCCGCAACCGAATAGGCTTGTATGGCTTACCGAATAAGACATACTACCCATGCAGATCATTAAGCCATAACCAAACAACTGTTGGGAATCCCTTCAATTTTCAATACCTTAACTCTTATGTTATCATGTCAATACCTCAACATATTGCTTCTTTATATATAGAAAAAGTAAATTTCATTATTATATATATATATATATATATATATATATATATACACACATATTTAATTTTGGTTATAATTTAAAAAGAAAATTAATGATGTTACATGGTCACCTTTTGTTCCCATATTAAAGTTTATTGATATAAAATGATTTTTTATATAACTACAACGATATTTGTGTAATGCATCGAGACACATTTTGATTTCAGTGTTTCGTTTTATTCTTTTTTTTGTGTCGATATAATACGGTTTTATGTGGTTATAAAAAAAAGATAATGTTTTTATTTTTTTAATAAAATATAAATGTGAAAATATCATAAAAATTTGAAAAAGGATAAATCGATATCCGTATCAAATTAAACTTTTTAAAAGTTCTTGTGTTTTGATGTAATTTCCTTAATTCATTTTCTAATTATAATTTAATTTAGGTTTAGTAACAAAAAAAAAATTAATTTATCTATATACTATATTATAAAGCATTTGGCTAAAACTCTTAAAAACTCTTAAACTCGTTCATCCCTAAACGATTTCATCTCATATCTGAAATCGTGTAACTAACTGCAAATAAACACAATCAAATACAGGATAAACATTTCATTTTAAATATAAAAAATCTAAAATATAATTAGGATAATAATTGAGTTCTAACAGAATACTTAATTATTATCTTTATAAAACGTTATATTATTAAACCAAAAATAAATTATTGTATTATT